TCCTTTAAACTCCTTCTTCAGTGAAGTACTTTATTATTTCAGTGTTCCCTGTTGTGAATATTCACTCTGTTTGTCCTATACCGGATCAAACCACCGATCTCCAGTCTTTCACTACTGGGATCCCTAAAACCCCCTTTGTTAGATTCTTTTTAACACAAGCAATCTAACAAGGTTTCACCTTCAGCTCCCTTGCTGAAGAAATATTCACAAATGCTAAGAACTAACTGAATCTATACTGCTTCACCACACAGAGCCCTAACTGACTCCGCTCCTCTTCTCAGGGTCTCATCCTCCTGACTACCTATTAACTGTTACTTTCAAACCTTTTTCTCCTTAAGCTCCGCCCACCTTCTCTTCTGCCTTGTCACCATGGCAAACCTATCTCTCACAGCTAGGCCATGGCCACGCATGTAAAACATAAATACAGTTTAAACACAGTACAATAAACCCTTTATAATAAACACTTCTCTACAGCAACCCACTATTATTTTCATTTGGAAGGAATGGTGCTACCTCAGGAGCATAAATGGTGAATCCGTTCGCATAAATCCCACTGATTCAATCAGTCAATTCTAGTTGGGGGCGCCAAGAGGATTCAAGCCAGAATGTTTAATTCAGGCTTTTTTCTGAACAAATCTCAGCTGCTCAGATATTCCCTTCATATTATGGTGCTTTGCCACAGGAGACATTTCTACCTAGACGTGAATTCACACGATAGCTTAAAATAGGCGACTAAAGGAATAAATTCACAAAAACTTGAATCGGTTCGCACAATGAGGTGGCAAAAAAGCTGAATGTGAAAAATGTACACTGAAAGTCGTCTTTGTAGCTCCCACAACAAGGCAGTAAGCACAGATCCAATGCACAAGTGAGATTTACAGCTCCAAGACAGCGTTGAAGGGAAGAAGATCCAATGCTTTGTAGGTCCAGAGCTAGGCCGCCCTGAGTCCCCCTTCGGGGGTTGAGAAGGATGGGGTAGAAATGTTGGAAATATAAATAAATAAATAAATAAATAAATAAATAATAAAGGAGAGCGTCCAGCTCCTCACTTCACTGAGGAGACCTTTACTTCCACTTTCTATGTCTCCCTCTATGCCTCAGCTTGTAGCAAGCACAGAAGACCGGGACCTGACAGAGGGAGCCAACCTTGTATCTGCATAGCCACGCATATCACTATCTTCTTTTTGGGGTACGGCTTATATTGTGCAAATGCTTTGAAATCCTGCTACAGCTTATTTTATGTATATGTCTTATTTTGGGGGAAACAGGGTATATGTCACCACCAGATTTGGCTGTTCTCATAGATGTCCATGGCATCATCACACTAGAAAAAAAAATCCACTTAAAATCCGGTTTCTGGCTCCTGCAGAATTCTGGGGTTTGAGGTTTATTGAGGCTGTTAAAGGCTAAACTACAAACCCCAGAATTCTGCAGGGGGCAGAAACCGGATTTTAAGTGGATTTTTTCTCTCTAGTGTGATGAAGTAGATGTTGATTTCATCCTGAGCATTAAACAGAAAGCCCAAAGATAGAATATCACTGAATCAAGAATATCTCTGACATAAAGCTTTGGAACTGGCCGGGGGTGGGTTGGGGCAGAGGGAATCCTTGCAAGTGAAACTGTTGCGGAAACACCTACCACAAGGAGAAATGACTGGCCATTAGAAAACTGATACAGAAATTCCTCTCTCCTCAAAAACAATGGAGCATTTAGAAGATAGTCACAAGAACAGCTTTTCTTGAACTGTGTCTTTCTAAGAAAGACAAATAATTAAGTACCTGATGGCAATGGATAGGATTCAACAGGGGTAATTCTTCAATACCTGGCTTACAGTAATATCTTAACTTTCCAAGCATGCTCCATAGTGGCCCTGATGTACCCTTGCCCAGAGACTCTGTGGGCAATGTGAAACACCAGTCCAAGCTACTGCTTACTGGAATACCAGTGAAGAGGACACCGGGGAAGGTCCAACACAGGTACTAGATCCCCAGTACCTGTGCTGCTCAGGGAGGTCAGTTGGACATGCTGACCCAACTAATGCTGTGTCGATGAACAGCATCCTCTATTTCTGTTTGTGAACTATAAATGGGTATCTAACTACCCTAATCAGGAAACAAATATCTGAACCAGAAGGTACTTCAGAAATATCTAGCAAGGTATTTGTTTATATGAAACTGTGAAGCACTCTGACATACTAAAGCAGTGGCCCTCCAATTGTTTTAGACCTCAGTTCCAGGAATTCCTGGCCATTGGACATGCTGGCTAGGGCTTCTGGGAGTTGGAGGCCCAGACCAAAAGTTAGGCAGCACTGTTTAACTAAAGTAGTGGTTCCCAACCTGTGGTTTGTGGGCCACCAGTGGTCCACAAGGACTAAAATATGATCAGCAACCTCCTCATTACTACACCGTTGCAATGAGAGCGACTGTTCTCGCAAAACCCTCTTATAGTGCAGAGACTTATGAAATATAGTTTTTTTGTGGGCGAGCAGATGGTGACTACTGGATGGCATATGTTATGTATAAGAAACTAGAGCTGATGTGATCTATCCAATGCAATTTTCTGAATCACCACCCCAAACAACCAAACCGAATCTAAAGTAGACCAATAATTGATTTGTAACCCTTTAAGTACTAGTGTTGGAGAGTGGTCCCTGGTCAAAGTGGTCCCTGGTCAAGTGGTCCTTGGTCAAAAAAAGGTTGGGAGCTACTGAACTAAAGGGATAAGCAGAACAGATCACCCACCCACTCCTCTGTGTTAGAAACCACATGTATTGTTCATTTAAAGTATTTGTAGACCACCCCGGCTTGTGAATACAAGGAGCATCACCAAATTACGTCACAGAGAATAAAAACGAACCAGAAAACAACCCATTCAGTACCAAACAACTGACAGAAAGGAAAATAATGGAACTAGGTGACCCGCATAATTCAACTTAGAATGCCTAAGCAAATAAAAAAATAAACCTCTCTCTGTAAACATTGTAAAGTCAGCACTAGTAGTACTCTGCAGGGAAGGTATTTTGCAGCTGGGGCATCATTATATAGTGCACGCTCTCTTTTGTTGTCACGTGGCACATTTTCCCTAAAGTCCAAATTTTAAGACAGGGGTAGGAGTGGTGCACTTTGCAGAAAGTAATAAAAGAGTGGCACAGGTAGATATGTATACAAGTCACGACAGACATGGCCTGATACTATTTCTGCAGTATGTTCCAGCAATCAGTTGGAATACCTGTGGCATATGCAAACAAAGAGAAATGCTAAATATTCCTCAGAAGGAAAAAAACACTAGTGTACAAGGCAACCCTCAAACAGGCATAAGACACGACTTCCTACCATATGGCATCTCATATAAACAACTAACCAGATGAAGTTTACACAATAAAACTGAAATTGAATAAAAACAGTAATAGACCACCATCAGAAATGACTGCTATGCTATGCAACGAACGCTTTCTATGAACTCAGGTGACAGATGGCATCATTTTAATATTGAAGTATTGATAGACAAGGAAAACTAGTCTATCGCCTTTATGAATTCATTTCCATCTCATCCATTCCATTAGAAGCTCTTCAGTATTATAACTAACTTTTCTGCTAAGGTCAAGTCCTATAACACATTCCCCCCTTTGACTTGGACCTACCTGTGGATGATCCATCCAAGATTTCCTTGTGCTGAAGATTCTGTTTCAATTCCAATCGTCTTGACCAAGCCTTGAACAAAAGCATTGGGTGCTTCTGGGCAAACAGCTTATATCTTACCACAACTATCCTCAAGTCCACTTACCTGGAACTGAGTTGGTTGTTTCTTCTCTCTAGACAGAACATGGCTAATAGATTGCACTTCCTGATTCCATCTCTCATATACAAATACACCCTCTGGCAATCATTTCACATCTTCCATTTGTTTTTCCACAACTTTGAAAAACACTTCCCCATGCCTAGTATTCAATCCTCTAGTTTTTCTTGCCTTGAAGACCATCATTAACTCAGCTATCTATCTGGACAGATCACAACTATAAGATCCAACACTTGACTAATGCTATGAAAGCTAAATAGCTCATTCAACCAACCAGGGAAGGCAGAGGACACACTACATTCAGCTATGTTCAGGACTTCTGTATGACATCTTCTGATTTTACATGGCAATGCTCACTGAATAAGCTAGTGTTCACAAGCTTCTGAATCCTGAGGAATATAGACTAATCTTAAAAAATCCAATCTTCTACCCATTAAGTCTATAAAATCACACTTCCATGCATGTGGAGAGTGTATGATTGTACCTCATGGGCTGGGACAAGTTGAGTAAGGTCTCCAACAGTGTAGGACAGCGCTTCTCAATCATTTTGTATTCCAGATGTTTTGAACTTCAACACGAGCGAGCACTGGGGCTTCTGAGTGATGATGTTTGAAATATTTAGAGCATTGCTTCTTAAACTCTGGGTCCTGACCCCAAATAGGGTCCCCTTAGCTCAATGTTAGGGTCCTAATTTTTTTTGGCAACAGTGAATGTTTTTCACCACAATTTAAGAGAGATATTGACTCTAAGCTGGAACGTGCCTAGAGCAGGACAACTAAAATGATCAAATTTTTGGAGACCATTAATTCCTCTGAAGAGCATCTTAAAGAGCTGCGTATGATTAGCTGCGGAAGAGAAAGTTGAGAGGCGATATGGTCGCCATGTTTAAATATCCAAATACTTCTTGCATCTAACCTCCTCCAGCCCTAGATAAACAAAATCTGACATGAGCTGTAGTCCAAAACAGTAACTTTTCCCATGTCCTGATTCCCCTTCTTGTGTAGGTAAGAACTGAAAGATGGCAAGGTGATAATGAGAGAAAACATCATGGTTGCTTCACCGAGATCTTTAAAGGAAGGGCAACATATTAAGGATGGGCAACTATTTCCTAGTGCTCATCGACATCTGTAACTCTACACATACATGCACACACTTAGGGGGATGATGAGCAATGCAGTCACAAGTACAGGGAGCAGGCAGTTTACCTGCAGGACCAGCTGCTGCCAGGCAGTCGCCAGGGGCTGGCCGCTGCCAATGTTGCACATGCTCACACGGTCCGAGGGCTGATTGGCGCGTTCGAGTTGCAGGGAGACATTGCGCCGCTCTTCTTCAAGGGCCCGGGTGAGCCGCTCAAAACGAGCCTCTTGCTCTTTAACGGATGCCAAAATGCTGGCAGCGGACCTGATATCATAGTCATCCATGACTGGGCTCAAACTGTCTTGCCTGTTAACTGATATGGACAAATGACAAGGGTTTTAGGTAAAGGGTGGGGAGGACAGAGGTCAAAGGTCAGGAGTTGAAAAAGAAGTTAATTACTCCACTACATCAGACTTGTGCCAAAAGCCACCAACCCTCCATGTTTAGAAAACATTTCATTTCCACACATTTTTCTACCAATAGCATTGCACCATTTTTTCTTTCAAATATGCATGCCACCTTAAACAGAATTTAGATTTAACTCGTCTACTAACTTTTTTAGTTTAAACTTCTATCTGACAAGAGATGTTCACATTTTTCAGGAAAGTAATTTCACTATGCAAACAATAATGTACTTTTAAGAAGACATTAGTCTCCCGTTTTGTTCTCCCCCACCCCATCCTGCTGTGTGACATCAATTATTTCTATACTTTTTAATTCACATCTGGAGTCTTTGACTTTTCATAGCACAGACGGGATCAAAATTAACTCTTTCAAATCAGCCAAAGCTGTTCCTGAAAGGTCTCTCTCTCTCTCAGGAAGTAGAATGAGGCAGCTGCCTCAGGCAGCAGATTTAGGTGGCCATGAAAGAGCCATAGATTAATATTTGTGTAATCTGTTTTTGCTTTATCCTTGCTGCCAGAGACAGAGGCTGCTCGTGGAATTTGTTACCTCCTAAGCCAAAATAACTTCGCTTCTTTTGAGCAAGTTGTGTTTTGACTTTGCTGACTACATCTGGGGCTAGGTCTGTACTGACACCAGATCTGGAGGACAAGAAGGCTCTCAGGGTGGACCAAGGTTTACAGTGACATAACAGAAGTATGTGGGGACAAAGTCAGAAGGCAATGCAGTTCTAACAGCTATGCTTGTCCATGTCCCCAAGTGACAGCCATTTTAAGTTTTGTATTCCACATACGAGAAAAATAGTACTTTCTTGTGTAAGAAACCTTAGGTCAGACATATTTACTTGAGTAGGCATTTAAATGAGAAGGGTTAGATCACTGCTTCCTAAACTGTGGGTCCCGATGCCAAATGGGGTCCCTTCACTCATGAAAAATTTGGCAACAGGAAAAGGTTTCCGAATGCCACCTAGTGGCTATTTTACGCTTTGACATGAATGTGTTGCTCAGCATTTACAGTGAACTCTGTAGAAAATGCTTAAGTTGTACTAATAAAAAGGAAAAACAGCCTGTTTAGCAAGCTTTGCAAATGCTGATTTATTATCAATAAATGTTCAACTTTTATACCTATTTTATATACATAATATTTCTCAGGCAAAAAGGGATCATGAGTGGAAAAAAGTTTAAGAAGGCCTGCTGTAAGAGATACATAAGTGTCTTCCCAAACAGCAGAGCCTCATTCTATCATCAACCTTTGTTTCACCACCCCCTTGTTTCTTAGTGGAAAAGTTTAAAAATCCTTGGGTTAAATTATGCCCATCACATTGGAGTGATGTGGGTTTTAATCCAACACATCTGGAAGGCACTAGACTGGGGAAGATACCAGGGTGGATGTCCCTCCAACATCACTGCCACTGTCTGCTCCTCAAAATATTTGCCATCATGACAAATGTAGCACAAGGCTGACTAGTCTTAACGTGAAGATAATTAACACAGAAATTGCAAACATGTCACACTGTGTAATAACAAAGTGCTGTCAAGGTGATAAATAGAAGTATACACTGACAGACTGTCAAAAAGCAGGAACATGTGGAGCATAGATCCCCATGTTCCATGGTTCCATCCTTATGCAAGCAAAGGTGTAACCCTCCCTGTTATCAAGGCTCATTTCTGAGAAATGTATCATCTGATCATTATTATTGTAAATCATGGTTCTAGCCCTTATAATTGCAAAAAAATTTGCTCAAAATCTCAGAAGCCAAAGTGATAGATGGAATAAAGGCTGGGCTTTAATATCTATGTTTGGCTTCTTATCCATTGCCACTAGCATCACAACTGAAACATAATAGATAAAGTGGAAGTATTTCTGAATATTTTACATATTTATTCATTGCATTTTATCCCATATTCCCCTTAAAATAGCACCCAAAAACAGTGTTTGCATTAGCATTAATATTTTAAAAGTCATTATAAAGTTTTCTGATTTTGGAATTTTTCCAATAGCCTTTTAGGATGATAGAAAGCAAATTCTGGATGCGGTGATCTTGATAGGTTTCTTAATACAAAAAGAGAAATTGCTAGTGCTCAGTGGCAAGTTAACCACTCTAGGCAGGCACTATTTCAGCATGCCCTTTGCATCTCATCAGCAGATCATTTGCATACACAAGCTAATCCAGAAAAAGTGCCACCAATCGCAAAAGGCAGCCCATGCAGCAGCTTGCTAGTAAGTACAAATAAATAGAAGATACCATGGTCAACACCAGAGAAAATATTTGGGGTGGGGGGAATCACAAAATCAGAAAGCTGTTCTCTTGTGACCCCTCATCAGAGTATTGCCAGTAGAAGGCAATGGTGGATAATCTTTAGTGGCATCTGTGAGCTCTGTGGAAATTCACTCTGAAATGACCTTGCAAAAAAAGCCCATGCAAACTGAAACAGCATCTACCAAAGGGCAAAGTATTGGTTCAAAGAACTCTCGGATCTTTTCATTGGGCCTCCTTTCTCTGATGTCATGTAAGGTGGTGGCCATGGGGGAGAGGTTCTGATATTTTAAAGCTCCAGCAGCTATTTCCAGATTACAAGACCCACATGGTGGAACTAAACAGTAGTTCAAGAAAGACATGGAAGTATGTAGAACAGCATTCAGTGTGTGGCGACAGCATCACAGAGCCATCAGTCCGAGTGTGCAGGAAGAGGGGAGGCTGTGGGAGCATCAGTTGTGACCTCTGGGTCAGCTTACATGTGAGCTGCTCGGACACATCTACTATCTCATTCAAAGGAGCCAAAAGGGTATCACTGAACAATGCTGCTGCCACCTTCAAATAGTTGGCACTCTGCTCCTTCTGGAGCAATTATGTTTCTAGCTCCCATGGTTGCATAAATATAGAAAAACTGTCTCTTAGAATCTCCTTTCTCACATCTTCACATATGGTGCCATTCTTGTTTTGACAGCCAATTACACACCGCAAAAATGCCTATGTGAGTGCAGGACAGGGCTGCGGCTCAGACAAAACACGCCCTTGTCAAGTTGTCCCTTGGATTTTCTCCAGGATGAAGAATAAAGGTTTTGCACTTGCAGGTTTAGTGCTAATCTACATGTTACATTACCATATTCTTACTTGTATTATTTTATTTTATCTTAAGAGAAACCAAAGGGAGGGTGGTGAACTAGCCTGATACCATAGCAGGGGTATACGTCTGCTTGCCATTTCTGCACTCCTGAAGATGAGAGTGCCCACAAAATCTAAACAGTGGTGAATGACCCTTAGGTCCATGGAACTTGGCACAGGATTCAGCTCTTGTAGTCTTAAATCATATTGAGTGCTGCTTTTTATTGTTACAATTTCCCAAACTTGCCATAGTGGATAATGAAAGCTGAAGCTGAAAAGCACAAACTTTTCAAGCCTTCCCTAGCCGAAATGTAGGGGAGAAAACCAATGTGGATTCTCAAATTCTCACATTCAAGATCCTTGATTCGCAATGCAACCTTGCAGTTGTATAAAATACAACTTGAGAAGGAAATACTTTCATACTCTAGGGGAATTGTAATTCTGAAAATATACCCCCCCCCCTTTTTTTTTTTCATGGCATTAGCTTTTTACAAAGCTGAGTGAGTCTCTCAGAAATCTGGGCACTAACATCACATTTTCAATCATGTATCCAGGGCTTGTTGCATCCCTGGGATAAAGCCTGGTTTGCATTCACAAACTCAAAACTGCGGTGTTTGATCGTGTTGTAGACAGCCCTGGTCAAAGCCCAGTAGTGCTCTATCTAACATCTATGTGACAATGGCAATCCGCATGCTGCTGTGCATCTGCAGGTATTGTTTTGTTCCATAACTTTTCAGGAAGGAGGACTCATTTGCCTAAAAGAGATCTGAGTTGTGCTGCCTTGTTTTCTAGAGCCTTTTGTGCCATTGGCATCAGAGTCAACAGAGACTTACTTGCTGGGACCTTTAACCCACAGTTTCTTTTGTGCATCATCGCAAAAGTGACTTTCCAACCTCAGAAGCTCAAATGCTAAGCTCTTAAGGCACAACCCAAGATATTTTCTCACCAAAAAGAAAAAAAAATCTTTAGAGAGAATTATGTCTTCTCTTCCATCAGTCCTTATGAAAATCTCCTGTCTTCCTACAGAAGAAGGGGGAAGGACTTCCTCCCCTCCCATTGCTTTCTAAGAAAATGGGTGCGTTTTCAGCCCATTTTCAACATGTTACAATAAGACCCTTGAAAGTGCTTCATAGATTTTGAAGGTATTTCTAAAGCCAGTATAACTCTGTAGCCATGAGGCATAGAGAGAGCTCAGTTATGACTGGCTATACAAGAGGAATCCTGGATCTTTCTGCTCCATCAGCCATTGAAAAGACTGAAGCTGCCTCCTCCTCCTCCTCCTCCTCCTCCCTCCTCCTCTACTTCTATTCCCAGCCATTTTCCAGGGCCAATGGGAAACGAAACCCACTGGCTCCACTATCCGTGTTCACTTGAGTGAATTAAACCTGTTGTGGCAGCTTCCAGTTTCTGAAGGTTAGAAACAAAGAGGGGCGGTAGGTAGAGTGGGAATCACCACCTCCACCACCAAGCTTCTCAAGCACTCCTGAAGGATTCAGAAACCAATGGCGAGACCTGCATGAAGCAGCACTTCTAGTTCTTTTTATATCAAGGCATCCATTCAAGAGGTACTCCAAGGATTCCCATTTTCAAGCAGCAAAGCAAAAGCACCACATTTTGTAGTGCCCGCACCTTAAGTGGAAACTCAAAAGGAGCAACTAAGCAAAAAAAGAATGCCCAATGAAAGGGGCTAAGGGATTCCATTCCAGGATGGCTGTGTTTATTTCTTATTAGCAAAAATGGCCAATTTCACAAAGAGGTGAGGTATGTGTGTAGGAGGATAGCTTTTATGCTACAAAGCATGCTGGGTGGGGGGTGGGGGGAGGAAGAGGATGTCTCTACATACTGTGTATCACATTCATTATATGTTGCCTGCAGTGTGTGTGTGTGTGTGTGTGTGTGTGTTGTATGAATGTAATAAGAGACCTCTGAGTCTATACAAAATAAGCAATATATCATATATTTTTAGAAATATAAAGGTTTTCATGAGATATGTTGCATCTCTCTACATGTTGTGATTACAGTTTATGTATGTGCTTGCATCTCTTATAAAGGGGTTGGTCTAACCTCTGGTCCCCAAATTCACCCCAAAAATGCCACTGATATGTTGACAGGCTCTTTGAGGGACTGCTTTGGAAATGCTTATAGGCCTCAAAAGCATCTAATGCTTGCCTTGTTTCCCCACTCCCCCAGGAAAAGGACCATCAAGTCTATCTGGAACAAGAAGGGGTGGAAGGAAAGGCAGGAGGTGATCCAGCTTCTCTAAACATCAGAGAGTCTTCTCTCTGGTGGAAACTGACATGGAGCATGTCACTTGCTTGCTTCATGTGTAGCTCAAGGTTCTTCCATTGAAAGAATGGACACTTCACCAGGGAGTACATCCAGAGCTTTCTCAACCAGCTCAGGGGAGTTGCTAGGTAGGCGAGAACCCAAAACAGGTATTCAGCTTTAATGGCTGGCCTGTTTTTAACCTGCCCAACCTTTCAAAATATCAAAGTGTTCCCATTTTTATATTTAATTTCCAATTGTCTCTGCCTGCTTTGCAGTTAAGAGCTTAGAGAGGCTACATTTATTTATATCCCAGAATCCCACAGATAATTGCTTAAATCAAATAGAAGGGCTTTATATTATCTTTGCAGTTTTAGAATTTCTTTCCCCCAATAAACTGATCCTTGAGTTGGACTAATTCCAGTGTTGGAGGATGCAATCAGGAGAAAATGGACAAAGCATCAAAGTGTGGTCTAAAACTGCCCTCAACACTGAAGGTTCTCTACATCCACTCCATGTGAAATATGGAGAGTCACACTCTTGAGCCACAGGATGCAGGCTCCGAAGTCTTGATAGGGACAAACTGCAAACTTGGTAGGGCATCAGTGCCAACAGCTGCAAGGCCTTTTCTAACGGAAGAGGTTGCCCCAGTAAGGATGCTACTAAACCCTCACACAAAGCTGCAGTGGTATTTAGAACTTGGTCTGTGGATGTTTTGTTACTGCAGCAACATTTGGAGCTGCTTATATAAACCTGCAGAAGTTGCCTCTCTAAGAATGTTGAGGTCTTCCAGTGTGACTCTTCCAGGGTAACATCTGTCAGAATTTATTAATTTCTATCGAGTTTAATATTATCCAAGGTTTCCAGTTTCCACACTAAGTTCAGGAATGTATCCCCTGCAGACATGGGGGTTGTACTTCTATAGATCGTTTAAATGCACTGAAATATAACCTTTATGTGTTTGACTGATGTTTTTCTATGTATTTTAATCCATATTTCTTTCACATCTGTAAACTGATCTGAATCTCAATACTGGAGGAAAGGCAGGCTATATGGGGATAATTATGTGTATTTTCAAACTACAGTTGGCTTCCTGTATCCTCACATTCCGCATCCATGGATTCCGCCATTCATAGCTTGAAAATGTGCAAAATCCACAAAGCAAACTTTAATTTTGCCATTTTTCATCATGGCTGCCATTTTGTAACACCATTGTATATAATGTGACCCCAACATTCACTGATTTTAGGATCCATAAGGATGGGTCTCAGGACCAAACTCCAGCAGATTCCAAGGACTCACTGGATGCTACACTATAAAATGTTGAATTTAAAATGTCAGCAGATTTAGTAAAACAAGTACCTGCAGTTTTACTCCATCCTCCACCACTAAATACATCCTTCTGGAAAGTCTCTAAGTGCAGCTTTTACATGAGCATTTTTTTGGTCAATAATGAGGGCCAGAAACTTATTTTGAAAGGCAGACAACACACTCCCACAAATCCAAACTTTGACTTAAAATATGAATTGCATGCTATGTTCAGAAGCAAGAAAACATGGAACCGAAATAGTCTGCCGTGTCTATAGTTGGGGATGCAGTGTTCCTATGTAGACTTGAAGACGAAGGACTAAGGTGGCATACTCTTCTAATCAAACCTGGGGAATAGGTCAGATGAAACTGCTGTTACATTTTCCATGGAAGATGGCACAATCCTCAAAAGCATTCAAAGGCATGCGGTTCCCTCATGCAGTTTTGGAAAGCGTGCATTGAAAACCAAGCAATACACACCTAAGATTTAGGAAGGTCTCTATGTTAACGATGCTGGGGCATCACACATTAAAACCTAGAGGAAATAAGGGCCATAAACAGCCTCCAGCTGAATCAGCTGCAATGAAAGAAGGGGGAGAAAAAGAGAAAAAAAGTTAGTTCTTTGGCTGTTAGTAACGGGAAACATCCTATCTGCTCCACAAAAGCATTCACGTTAAACAAAGAAGACTAGAAGCACACTCAGGAAATCCAAATACAAAGCAGCTCATCCATCAAATTCTGCTCTCCTGCATCAAAATGTGATTATTATTGTTGTTAGCATTTACATTTTGCCTTTGTAATCTTGAAGAGAGGAAAACGGAAAGATCCAAGGAGCCTTCCATGCACAGTAAATGTTTTCCTTTCCTCTTACATACTGATCACAACCCAAAGGACACCTACCAGGAAAAGTCTGATTTCCAAGAAAACTATTTGACAGCATTCAGACAGAATCCCAGATGATTTAGAAATGGACTTGTTCTTTCCAAAGCCCTCCTCTGTTTCCTTTTAACCCCATCCATTTCCCTTACATAACAAATACCAACTCTGTTTTAGGAAAACAAGGCACTGCCTTGCAGAGTCAGATTGTTTTCAGAGCACCAACTGAAAGTGTTGCTCCTCCACTGCCATTTGTAGATGTGGAAATGGAGTAGCAACACTATCCCAGCTGAAATGCTCCCTGGCAGGGTGCTGTCTTGACTCAAGACCCAATGTCACTCCATTTGGGGTTGATTCGGCTGGTCAAAAGTCACATAAAACAAATCCTGGTTTTCAAGATAGATGGGACTCCACTTGGACATCATCCAACCCACAGCAGGATGGAATCAAGGCCTCTCAACAATAAACCTGTAAGGGATTCAAACCGAGCCGTTTTGTTTTCTCCACCAAATATACTTAGCCCGTGTAGAACGGAAGCTTGTGCACTGAAAAGGCGTCATCTTTTAACCACAAAGCTTTGAACATGCTGATGGATCGCATTTTCTAGCCCTGTTTTGGCTCTAGTCCTGAGTTTACTAATACCATTACACAGTATGATACAAATGTACCATATATACTTGTGCATAAGTCAACCTTCTGCATAAGTTGAGGACAGGTTTGGATGCTAACATTGTGGATTTTGTATGACCCATGGATAAGTTGAGGCGTATTCCATGGAGAGGGGTAAGCACCACCACTCTTTTCCCACCCAGAAATTCAACAAGGCCAAAAGCAGTGTCGTTGTGGAGAAGGTAGAGGTGGTCAAAGCTTCTTTTAGTTTCTCCCAGGGTGGACTTTCTCCATCCTACTTTTTTAAATAAGAATTAAGAATTAAAATAAATACCTACATTGACCTGTATATAAGTCAACCCTCATTTTTGTGGTCAATTTTTGACTAAAATTTCCAGACTTATATATGAGTATATACTAACTCAAGCTAACTCTTTTCTGGTACTCCATGCTTCTTCCACTCAACCGCCCCAGCTCTGGCTGGTTGACATCCAGTTTGATCCACCAACAACAATTTCACACTAATGACAAACCATGGTAATTGGGGTGAGAAACTTATATGCATAAAACTGGTAAAAGACAGATATGCTAACAACAAAGGAATGGATTATAAAGGTCTTCAGATCAGCAAAAGTGGACAAACTCACAGTGATGTTCAGAGAAATGGTCAAAACAACTTAAGAAAAGACTGGGAACCATTTTTAATTTTATTTAAAAAAAGAAAAAGGCACACAATTATTGACTGAGGGTCTCCAATTATTGTGAAGCAAGACGAAACCTTACTTTGATTTTATGTAGATGCAATGGTTCGCTAGAGGGTCTTAGAGCTGCAACTTAGGAAGATACATATTACATATGTGTATGTTTCCTACCCAAGTCAGATGGGAAGGTTTAGGGGGAGCGGGTCAAAGAAATAATCTCACTGTACTGTATTTTACTCTGAGCAAAAGATGAAACATTTGTAATACAACGGAGAAGAAAAAATTGTAAAAAATGAAGTCCCCTGAGACAGCAATTTCTACAGAGGCCTGGACAGGCAAGCGCAGTGTGCTCGTGTCCAAAGAAACAAAAAATGGTCGGCTGATGGGAGACTTTTGTTCCGAACTAACAAAAAGCAACCTGCCAGACAAAGAGTGCAGCAAAGAAAGAATGAGCACAGAGGAAGTTCCCTCAGTAGAGGGTGGGGTGGGGGGACAATTTCTAACCAGACACCCCTTTAGGAAGCAACTGGAGTTATTTAAAGCTTCAGTAGTGTGGGAAGGTCAGCACGAGTTATGCTTCAACAGAAAAAAAACAAAAAAGAGAAATAAAGAATAACATTTCAATTCAAGATGAGGACTGCTGATTTCAGAAATTAGGCAGCCTCCTCAGAGCTCTTGGTGATTGAGTCAGCTGGAATGTAATATTCCCCATGCTAAGAAAGTTGGGTATCCCATTGTGTTTTTAGATTAATGATTTCCTTAATAAGCCTCACTTAACAGGGATGAAAGAGAAGCGCGAGCATTCAAGGAAATGTTGACTCTCCTTTACAAACCAGGGCTTCAGAGACGTGCAAAAGCTTCCACCAAGTCACTTGCATTTTCAGCCCGTATGCTTGCAATGTCTATGGGGGAAGAAGACAAGAACAGTCCTGCTTTCAGCACTCTTAGTTTCAAGTCAATTTACAGCATACACACCCGGGATTTTCTGGACAAAGAAAACAAATTGGGTTTTTATTGGCTTCCTTCTTCCATATAAAACAAAGGAGGGCAAAATCTCACATGCTCAGGCTAACCAAGATGTCAACAGAAACTATGATCTTTCTTTTCTCTAGGTCCAGGGGTTGCAAACCTTTGGACCTAACTCTGAACCCCTAATACCCCATCTTCCCCTCTGCATGACCACAAAACTCTTCTCCAGGACACCATAGTTTTGTGGTTTGCTCCTGCCACCAATCCGCAAAGGTGGAGCTTCTTCTTCTAAGATTCTGCTACTTTTAGTATTAACTGTCAGCTGAAAATTACTGACATCTTTGTTTTGTTTTATTTATTTGCCTTTGGCCCCATTCAACATTGGAATGTAACCCACACACACACCACCTCCAAGGACTGCTTTGAAATTTAATTCAGCCTTCTTCACCAAAGAAGTTTCAGGAGTATTCATAAGAGTTCACTTTTCAGCCTCCTGAGTGGTCACTATTGCACCCTTGGGCTCTCCATTGGCACATTCAGGGCTAATCACCTCATCCAGTGATTCCCAAGCTCTACTTTTACTCTTCAGCTCCCAGAAAGCTCAGTTCCCTTGGCCAATGACAATGGATTCTGGGAGCTGAGGCACAGGAGGAGGGAAAAATGGGAAAGTGACAGGAGTAAAGGTAATCAAGTGGGGGCCAATTCACCTCCTCCTTGCCAGGCATGCCCTTGGAGCATTTTTGGCAGCTCCCTCACCTCTTCATTCCAAATCCTACAAAGCACTTCAGCAAGGGTGATTCAGCAAGTGTCTACAATGCACGCCACATTCTGTGAAGCTGATTTTGCCCTGGGATCTGGGATACACTGGCATCTGCTCCAACACATCAAAGGACTCAATTCCGACTTTCCTGAAACTTTCTTTAATGCACTGTATACCCTTAAATCTGTGCTTCAGCATATATGAGCAGCATGCATTTTGTAGTCACCACAATTTCAAGTCCCCTGTATTATAATGTAGATGGCGTCACTATCAGTGTCAGCTCCATGCTCTTCCTTATTTCAAAAATTTGACAATGCCTCTGCGACCACAGCAGCATTTCAAGGCAGCTATGACATTGTATATGTTCAAGAGAGGGTTATTAATTTCAGGGGCAAAAAAAAAATGTAGGAATCCTGAACATATTTACTAGGAGCATCTTCATTCAAGATTTACATATTTCTGGGGATTGTGCAGGGATGCATAGAAGCATTGCAATTTATGCCTCCTAATTAATCATGGTTTTGAAAAGCTGAGAGGGATCAATAAAATCTGTGCCTAGTATCTTTTCTCACCCCTGCTGCCTTTGTTACTGTCTTCTGGATAAACCCTGCAGAATGTGCTGTCTATTTTGAACATCAGCATCTGTCATCTCCAATACTCCCTTCTCTGACAAATGTCAACATTCAGGGATAATTCAATCAACATTAAAAATGCATTTTGCTAAACTGGATTTCATCCCCTGGCTTGCCACTCGCCATGTCCAATAAACTTTTGGCTATCCTTTATAAACAATGTATAACCATCAATGTTACTTCTGAAGTCACTGTTATTTACAGCATGTTGCTATTCAAAGACAAAGAAGCACAGTGGGCTCTAAGTACCTACTGTTGTTTAGGTTAGTTTAGTTTATTAATTGACTTTATTTATATCCTGCTCTCTCTCACCTCAAGGGAGACACAGAACGGCTTGCAACATGGCAATATCAATGCCGCATACACAATCAAATAAAAATACGATACATCATATACATAAAAACAGATAAAACATATAAATACTGTAAAACTGTTTAAACCATGATATATATTCCAGCAATCATCCTTTGTGTTGCTACAGTAATGCAAATTCTGTATTGCACTATCCAAACACCTGCTCGCATAACCAGGTCTTCACTCTTTTCCTGAAAACCAGGAGGTAGGGAGCTGATCTGATATCACTGGGGAGGGAGTTCCACAGCTGAGGGGCCACCACCGAGAAGGCCCTGTCTCTAGTCCCCACTAGTTGCACTTACAATGGAGGTGGGACCGGGAGCAGGGCCTCCCCCACAGATCTTAACTCTCTAATCGGTTCATAGGGAGAGATACGATTGGACAGGTAAGTTGGACCAGAGCCCTTTAGAGCTTTATAGGATAAAGCCAGCAGTTTGAATAGTGCTCGGCAGCAGACCGGCAGCCAGTGGAACTGACTTAACAGGGGTGTTGTATGCTCCCTGTACGCCACTCCGGTGAGCAGTCTGGCTGCTGGACTACTTGGAGCTTCCGAACAGTCTTCAAAGGCAGCCACACATAAAGCGGGTTACAGTAATCTCTTTGAGATGTAACAAGAGTGTCGACCACTGTGGCCAAGTATGACTTCCCAAGGTACGGGCACAGCTGGAACACAGTT